TGATTACAGTGCAATGTGCTTGAGAGACAACGCGAGATATACTAAAACATATATGTATAGCTGTCATACTTATGCTATATAGAGAGGAAAATGGTCCAAAAAAATGAAGATCTGCCTGTAGAAAGATTTATATTCAGGCCAATTTAGGCTTTATTTAGAAATTAGATTATCAGTATTGATGCTCAATTGTTATCTGCACAAGAAAAATTTTATGCATGTTAATAAAATAGGTTGTTTTTGGTTATATACAACATGTCTTAGTGGTTGACGTATTTGTAGTCCCGGTAAAATAATAGGCAAAGGCCATCTCTTTGCTATAAGTTAAGCATAAATTGGTCTAATTTCTAGACTTGAAACAAAAGCGTAATTATTGTTTAGTTTCTCTATTGAAAATTTTAACGTAATGTATTGAAATTATTGTATACTTTAGATTTTATATAGAAGTTATTAAATTAATTTTAATATTGCCATCCAAAGCTTTAATATTTATAATAATAGATAAGAAATGTAATATAGTTAAGACATACCAATATACGAAATTATCAATTTAATTTTTTTTATTAACTTTTACTTAAATCTTATATCCTAATTATTCTATCGTATTCTAAATCATTTATAGAATCTTTCAAATCAAACATCAATGCGAAATTGATTGGTTAACGGTCATTAAAATGGTAGTGTAATAGTGAGCAGGTTCTAGCCAGGAGTGGGTTGCGCATTCGTGAAGAAACTGCTAACTCGGTCGCGTGTAATCACGACCTTCATTAATTATACATACCTACGTTTCTCTAATTCATACTATATATTATTACTAGCTGCCCCGCGAACTTCGTTTCTCCTTAATGTGATTTTACTTAGCCTAGCTTTTTAGTACCTACCAACAAGGAACATTTTGCTATGCTACCCCAAAGACTGTTCGGTTTTCTGGAATGAAAACTTTTTAGGTTTTTCTGTGAATTTTTCTGTATAGAACCTCTGAGTTCTAGTCATAAGTTTTAAATTAACAAATAAAAAATAGGGGTTGATTGTAGAGGGGTGAAAATTAAGGGTTGTATGTATTTTTATGTTATATCATAAACAAATAAAAATAAAATTTTTGGGGTGGACACCCCTTATCGCTTAGGGGTTTGAAAGATAGTAGTCAATTGTCAGAGTTACTGATAATGCATTAAAAAATTCATGAGAATTCGGTCGAGCCGTTTCGGAGGAGTATGTTAACGAAAATTGTGACACGAGAATTTTATATATTAGATATTGTTGTTTTCGACCAAAGACTAACCGATCATAATTTAATTAAAGATTATATATTATATAAGAAAAAAATATAAATACTATTGAATGTGAACTATGAGACATGATACTTGCAAAACAAGTAAAGTTTAACTGTGTCAAATTTCACATTCACGAACAATTCTCTTAAAACTTCACAAAATTTTCGCCTTCTCGTATATATGTTACCATTATTATAATATTTAACGAATTGTTATAATTTAGTTCGAATTTAAACGAATTACATAGGTTAACGGACCTTTTTCATTGTCCGTTGAGATGTCAAAAGTTCTATTATTTGTTAGTGCCTATAGTAGTTAGTAAATTTCTAGTATTTTTTATTATGTAATTTTGTTTTTCCTAATTAATTTTGTATGTTTGCTTTATTGTTTCGCTGTAAATGTTATTCACTTATTGTTCACTCTTGTCAATTTAGGGTCGCCTATTAGGGCAGGAGTGTTTATATATAAATAAATAAAAAAAAGGATGCGTGTACTTATGTACGCGCGTAAGAAGTTATACTTCTTTGGCATTATTAAATAATATATTTCATTACAAGTGCGGAAAGCCTGTCATTGCAAAGAGTTTCGACAAATGTCTACCCGAGCCGAGGCGCAGCCGAAGGTGAGGGTTGACAGTCGGAACAAGTTGCAATGACGGTTCCGCACGTGTACTGCCCTGCGATTCTGTAACTCACTTTTCGAACGCACTACGTTTTCGCTCGCGTCGCCAAATCAGTCGTGAAAGTCATTTTATGATTATGACATTTAAAAGGTGGGAGCTTGTGTTTATTGTTTATTAAAATGCCAAATAATAAATGACTGCAATAACACTCAACTCACTAATAATTTGCAATTAAATCTTAAAAAAAAAACAATAAACTCAACTCACTAATCATTTATTTCCCTTATACAAATTATTGTTCACATATACATTGGTACAGTTTTTTATACTAACTGGAGAAGTTTTAGGTTGCATATTTATTTATTTGTCTCAACAAACTATTATTTATTTCTAAACTATTTTTTTTATTTAATATATAATATAACAAACAACTAAACGCGCTAAGAACATTTTTGGAAAATGGGTATAAGCAGATTTTTTTTTCTTCACCCATTCTGGGTAGGCAAAGGGAACTATGCCCATACAGCCAAGTCTTCAGTACAATTTTTTATTGATATGAAATGAAATTTAATGAGATGAAATGAAATATAACCTACCTCATTGAATCAAATCATTAAATCTTATATTGAATCAAAGCAGTAGCTTCTTTTTAGAAATATTTGCATGAATCATAAAAATTTCTATGAATTTTTTTTAGTAAAAACTTCGTGGTTGGTTTTTTTCTTTTTAATAGACATTATTTTGACAGTTGGGAAAGAAAACGCACTAGTTCGGAAAAGGTAAAAAAAAAGCACGAGTGTGTAATAGCCCACATCCCGAACGCTATACGTCCCTGCAATACGCCACTTTTTGAGCAACTGTATTAAAAATTGTTTTTGATTGCATGCAAATAATTAATTACAATTAAATAATCAAAGACTGGAAAAGGAGTCATTACCTATAGTCAATAAAGTTCAGTTTACATTTGAAAAATTTAATAAATAAATGTTTATTATTAGTCTCTTACATTAAGTGTAACATAAATTCTATTATTATTGGAATGTTGTTTTTAAATTATGTCTAATGCCGTAGCATCTTTCGTGGGCAACTTCATTCTGTTAATTTTGTGTCACTTAATAAATAAATTCATTAATTTTGGGTGCGTGCGCATCGTAAAATTTCACTCTCATCAAATTTTCATAACGCGCCTTAAGAAGTATAACTTCAAAAATATGTATCGTACGTCTTTTAGAGAGAGATTATATTTTACTGGTAGAGAAAAAATCACGTTCTACTTAGAAAAAGAAGAAAGAAGAGAAGTCTCTTAATCGGATCCTAGCAACTAGAACATTTGCATCTAATGGCGAATATTTGATGAACATGTTCTCCAGATCGACTCAGACACGGCGGCTTTTTAAATAAATTAAGATTGATTCGCTCACAATTCGATAACTTTCATACCTTGATGGGGGTTGGATGTCTGATACGAACGTACCACAAGGTAATATCCTTTTAGAATTATAGCAAATACTAAAACTGCTAAGGGATGTAATCTAAAAATGAAAGCAATGCGTAGCAATTGATAAAATATTTTTACATGTTTTTTTTTTAATGTAAAAAGCAGAGAGGGCTCATCTGATGTTAAGTGATACCGCTCGACACTTACATTTCCAGAAGGCACGCAAGTGCGTTGCCGGCCTTTTAAGAGTTACGCTCTTTTAACGAAGGACCCTAAGTTAATCTCTAATAGGTAGCCTTTTAGAATTATTGCAAATACTAAAACTGTTAGGAGATGTACCTACTCTAAAAATGAACACAATGCCTATCAATTGATAAAATATTTTATATGATTTCATAATAAAATGTTAATTATAAAAGGATATCATTAATGGCGTCCGGATTTCAATTTAAAAATTTGCCGACAAAGCAGAAATTGACTTTTTAAATTCTGCTCTAATAAAAAGAAAATCCATTTGATTTAAAAGACGATGCTTTAATTAAAATGTGGATTAGTACCCAGTTTGTTACAATGGTTACAGTAGAGCAGTGAAATCAGTGTCGAAAAAAGTGTTACATAGTAAGATTATTATTGATATGAGACAGGTTGACTGGAATTGCGTAATTGCGTATTAGGACACATGAATCAAGATGAGACGAAAACTAGGTTCATAAGTTCTTATTAATCTCTGTTTAGTATTTCTAGTTGACGACGTCAAGAAGATTCTAAAACTACGTTCCTTAATGTTTGAAACAGTTTATTTTTTTAATCAATCCTCGTTTGTTGTGTTGTTTATGCAAAACTTGTTTACGAACTTCCGTCTTAGAATTCCTCGTATCATGATTTGCTAGCATAATAAAATAATTTACGCACAGCAGAGAGGAAAAACCACAAAGTATTATAACACAAATAATGTTGTGTCACATAATAAAATTATTTAAAACGAGCGTTCTAATATAATTAGATCCCAAAATGTTATATACTCCATAATTAGTAATGAGAAAAATTTAAAACGCCTCGAGTATCGAAGTTTGAACTCGACGTCAGAGGTAGAATATCTACTGCTATGATATGGTAAGTAGAAACAGTGCGATTATATCGTTTGATTTTTAATCTATAAAATATATTATGAATATACGCGGCGCAATTTTTTGCGCTAACTCCACTATTACCAACACACTGTATTTTGCAGCAACCGTTCTGGTTTAACGGCTAATGTTATAACTGTATGGGAATGACATTAGCTCAAGTGACCATTTTCATACAAAGTCAAATGCTTTCTGTGGGCCATCCATGCGGCATGCCGGTATTTATAGTCTAGTCCTTATAAATTTATAACAAAACATACCCATAAACTCCAAAAAATAAAATAAAATAACAAAACATACGATTGTCATAAATGACAGAAAAACACTTAGTAATGACAGCAACGTCAACATCGATGTCGCTGTCACTGAACTCTCCACAGATGTCATTCTAGACAGACAAATGACAATAAGTCAACTATCAGTTGTCACTTACATGCTCGGGACGGTGGCGCACGTGTTCTATTTATTAAAATTTTAAAAACTATCCTTATTTCTAAAATCAAGATGTAATATGTTCTTTTTGTGCCTTAAATAACTGCAAAATGTCACTTCCTAAAGAAGTAGAAGATGAACTGCCAGGGTTTGAAGCGCCTACGCAGGAGATAGAAAAGAAAGATGGCCCAAGCAGTAAAAAGAAAAGTTCAGGAGGCTTTCAGTCGATGGGATTTAGTTTTCCTATCCTTAGAGGTATTGCAAAAAGAGGCTACAAACAGCCTACCCCTATTCAAAGGAAGGTAAGTGGACATAATACATAACTTTCATAATAACCTTTCTTTCAGAGTGCCCAATTATATGCTATCTATCCACTTATATTTTTCTTTTTAGCATGCTGTATACAAATATTAGTATTATTGCTGAAGCGCAAGGTTTAAATTGCTTTGGTCCAGCTAGTTATAGTTTTGTGACTGTTGTTTTTATGAAACCTATCTTCATAATAATTACTGTGTTCAATCTGTTTTCAGACAATACCATTAGCTTTGGATAATAAAGATGTTGTGGCTATGGCTCGAACAGGTTCAGGCAAAACGGCATGTTTTGTTCTGCCTATACTGGAAAAGCTTATATCGCCTAACCATAAAACATTACCTGGTAAAAATTTAAGAGCCCTTATTTTCTCTCCTACCAGAGAACTGGCTTTGCAGGTAAATATCTACTTTTTTATCAATTGACTTCCTTAAAATACATGACGTGATCCTAAACATAATTGGTTGTAAAATTCTAACCACTAATTTATGTTACTTTCGAATTGTAAAAAGCTAGATATATTTATAGTATTATTTATTTTATAAAATTTCAGACAATCAAGTTTGTGCGAGAACTAGGAAAGTTCACAGGGCTAACATCAGTGGCTATACTTGGTGGTGAATCAATAGATCAACAGTTTGGTTTAATGTCAGGAGATATACCAGATATTGTAGTTGCAACCCCAGGTCGTTTCTTACACATTTGTATTGAAATGAACTTAAAATTAGACAATATTAGTAAGTATTATAGTATATGCTTATAATGTTCAGGATAATTTTAATAATAAGTTTGAGGAGATGTAATGTGATAATAATATATTAAAATGTAGTTGTGAATTTTGTCAATGATTTTAAATAACCTTATATGATGGTGTTGTATTGTAATATAAACAAATTAATAAGGTAAGAGGTTTTCATAACCTAGTTGGTACAATGTACAGCTGCAGAGCATTGGAAATGGATAGATGTAAAAGAGAATACGCACTATCTGAATCTCCTACTTTTATAAAAATTATATATATAAAAATCTACCAAAATGAAGCTTTTCAAATTAGTTTTGGGATTCCCTTAAACATATGTCTTCTTATATTTCAGAAACGGTTGTATTTGACGAAGCTGACAGACTTTTTGAATTGGGTTTTGGTGAGCAACTACGTGAACTTGTTGCCCGTTTACCATCAACTAGGCAGACATTGCTGTTCTCTGCAACTTTACCAAAAATGCTGGTAGAGTTTGCTCGAGCAGGTCTTAGTGATCCTGTACTTTTAAGATTGGATGTGGATTGGAAGTTACCGTCTACTTTATGGCTGGGTTGGATTGTAGTCAGAGCTGAATTGAAAACTGCAGCATTGTTATTACTTTTGGATAAAGTGTTGACGTCGAATACACCTCAGGCTGTTGTGTTTGCTGCCACAAAACATCATGTGGAATATTTACATTTGGTGAGTTTGCAAGTAAATACAGCCGAATATTAGTTTAAAATAGGGATGTTACTGCCTATAGCAGTGTTTCCCAACGTGGAGCAATTTGATTGTTAAAGGGGGCTATTTGAAAATTCCCTAAAAATTTTTGGAATTAGAATTTCAGTTTTTCGTTATATGTTTTGAAAAATTACTTACTGTGTCTTATAAACTATCATTTAACAAGAGAGTGAATAAGAGTGTTTCTTAAGTGAACAATACAATGTTTTAATATAAAAAAAATATCTATGTTACATATTGGAGGAATAAGTATATTAGAAAGGCGAAGGCATGGCAAAAAAAGGTTGGGAAACACTGGTCTATAGTATTGTGGTATTTATGATAAAATATAAAAATAAACAGCATTTAAGTAGGCCATATCCACAAAACTTATGTCACCTGTTGGAGCTGAGTTTAAAATAATTTTGTGTTTACTGCATAGATTGTGATTCTTTAATTTGAGAGTCACAATCTAATTTTTTTAATTTTAATTTTAATTTGATTTGAGAGTGGGAATTCACAAGTAAATTTTATTTCAAAAAGAATAATATACAGATAGGCGTGTATACTTTTCGTTTCCATCATTTTTATTTATAAAACCTATGGTTGTAATACCATCATTACAATTGAATTATTTTAGATTTGTTATGACATATTTTTATCAGATGTTCTAAATTATATGTCCTGGAACCTCTTATAATAACTAATAAATGTTCAAGTAGTTAATAGAGGCCTGACATATGGGACATTTCATCGGACATTTTGGCCATTTTAAGAGGAAGAAAAAAAAAAATTTCCGTTGATTGTACTACAATTTTTTGAATATAACAAATTACTGTAAAAAATAAAAAAAAAAAAAAAATATTAATACTGTTCTTTTACAGTAAAAAAAAATGCGCCAAAACAGTATATTTTTTAATATTGTATTTTTTTATATTTTTTAAATTTGAACTATGAAATAAAATATTTTATAGTGAGATTTGTTGATATGCGCCCCTTGCGAAATATTTTATCGAAAAATTGTAGATTTACCAATCAACCGAAGCAATTCTACATTTGACAACCTATACACTTGGGTAAATATACAACGTATATCCTAAACTAATAGAGATCCCATAAAATTTTTGGGTTTTTTTATTTTATTTTTAAGTTATATTTAAAAAAATATTATTGGTCGAAGTGACTGTAATTCTGGTTTGAAAAGTTAACTTCCGGTTTGGCCATTAATTTTTTTTTTTAAACATTTATTTTAAAAAATATTTTGGGAAAAAAAATTTTTTAGAGGATTTTTTATATATTAGAAAAGTTGGAGAAACAAACAACAAAATTTTTGAAACAACTAAAAGGGAGAAAAAAAACAATAAAAAAAAAAAATTTTGCGTACACATTCATACCTACTAGAAGTACAAATGGGCCGAATGTGGTCGATTTTCAGAACCTCACTTTTTTTTCCCTGTCCGCTTCATGTGAAATGTCCCATATGACATCTATGTCTCAAGATATTTCTTAATGATTTTTTAAGTATTTAATGAACACATAAAAAGCCATTGCCGGAGTTCAAATTAACTTGAATGACAAAGCCATGCTCACAACTGAAGCAGTATATTATTTCAGATACTCCAAAAAGTAGGTATATCTTCCACCTATGCATACTCTGGTCTGGATTCATCAGCTCGTAAAATAGCACTTGGCAAATTTACAAATAAGAGATGCTCAGTGCTCATTGTAACCGATGTGGCCGCTAGAGGGTTGGACTTGCCATCTTTGGATACGGTCATAAACTACAACTTTCCAGCTAAGCCAAAGTTGTTTGTGCATAGAGTTGGTAAGTCAATTGTGATTTATTTGTAGCTTTACATCAAAATTCAGTAAATAATAAGGACTGGCAAGAAACTCTCCGCCACTCTTTTTAATCGCCAAGTTTTGAGTTATACAAATTGTTTGAACTGGAGCAAAAATCCCAAGGATTACGATCATTTAAATCATTGTTGTATTTATAAAAAGCTTTATTGAATCATTTACGTTTAACGAGAGTTTTGAATTTATTCAGTGATAATTCTCTAATTCCGCTTGGGAGTTTGTTGTACAAATACACAGAATTAGTATCATAAGTTTACTACTAATTCTAGGTAGAAGTGCCCGTGCTGGTAGATCAGGTCGCGCCTTCTCTTTGGTCGCCGCTGAAGACGTCGCACATTTGTTAGACTTGCAACTTTTCCTTGGAGCTGAACTAATTAATCCCTCACAGGTATTTTGAACCGTTTTAATTTAATATAATTTTTTAGCGAAATTTAGATTTTATTACAATATTAAAATTTGATGTTTTTTTGATCTTATGTATTTTAATTTTGTAAATAATATGTTTGCAATTCTGTAATAACTATAACAAAAGCTGTTTTGTATTAAAATAAAAAGCCAATAACACATGCGACTTAGGGAGACACCGTAACTCGTTCGTACGGTGAAGTAAAACATTGTGAGGAATGTCCTGCATTAGACCCAAAAATTCGACGGTGTCACAGAAGGCCGATCACCTACTTACTACACTGGTTTTCTTTATATATAATTTATTTGGCATTAAATCTGATAGGTAAACGAAAATGGAACAGCTTGTCCAAGCGGTGTTTGGGGTTCGATGTCGACCACTGCCTTGGAACTGCGACACCAGGACGTCATGGCTTGGGAGAAGAATCACTCGGAAATAGTATGTTATTAATATCAATATTTACAGATCCTTTTTAAAATTATATCTAAATAGATCAGTGTTGGTATATGACCCTCAAGCTGGATAGTGTGTGTTAAATTTCCAACTGTGTATGTATTTGTGTTTCTAATAAGAAAATTACATATACTCTGATTTTTAATTCCATAGGATTCAGACATTTCATAAGTGTTGCTACTAAAAAATGCGACGTTTTTTTTATGTTCTATTTACAAAAAGATCTAAATGTTTAATTCAAGTGACCTTAATTAACTTTAATTACTTTATTTTATTCTTTAGCTGGCATCACTGTCTACTAATTCCAGGTTTAGTAAACCTTTTAAAAAAATAAAATGTTATCTTTACTTTTGCGTTTTTTTAACTGTTAGTGATGAAAACGGACGTAATTACTCGCCGTAATGGATACATTTACTAACAAATAAAATGTATGAATAGACTCAGATATTCAGACTCGTATGAAAAATGCCTGGCCAGAAGGTTTGTGTTCGACATGTCAAAAAATTAAAGCTGACAGAATTCTACGGAATTAAAAATCAGAGGGTAGTAGAGCCATTGGAGTATTATTTATTTACACTTTATCGAGCTATTTGTTAGTTAGCAGGCTTGTGTGTATCATTGAAATCTTAATAAAAACATCGTTGTAGCGCTTCACTATAATTTTCATTAAAGCGGCTTATTGAAGCGGTTAATTCCTAAAGAATGGAGCTTCGATTCCCTATAAATGTTGGTTGGTACTTTTATAAAACGTTACGATACGGGCCGGGGATTGAATTACGCGTTATTGTTAATATTATTTTCTACTTTCCAGTACTTGTAGACACCACATAATGTGTACCATTTAATCTATTAGGTATAAGAGTCACGAAACCTTTTACTATACTTTGGTACAGAACAACGTTACGGCGCGTTACATGCCCCATATTATAATCTCCAAAAATTGCGTGACGTAATACTTGATTGAACGCTCTCATTTTTTTTTAATGGCTCTGGCATTTGTGCTTTAGCCAGCGTCAATTATAGGGTTTTTTTTAATTCGTGCTTGTCTTTAGAAATTCGTCCGAGTCCTGTATCCGATGTACGGTTTAAGCACTCACCCAGTACCGCACAACCCTTCCAAAGGCCGAGAACAAATTTAAATTAAAACTTGCCCTCGAACCGGGAATCGAACCCGGTACCCCTCACCTAGCTGCCACTTAATAAGACCGCTAGGCTATGAGGCCCCTAACGCTCCCATAGGAGATGTAACGGATTTTCAAACATAGAAGTCTAATGTGTAATTTTTCTGTCCCAAGCCAAATTTATGACCACCTCAAACATTGAGATTTTCCTTCTAAATATTGTTAATCTAAAATGCAATTTCTTTTAAAAGTATAGCATCGATTTTCTAGTAAATTAATGTGGTTCTTATAGGAAGATGCAGCGCGCGTGTGTGGTCGTGGTTGGCAACAATACATAAAATGGCGTGAACCAGCATCAGCTGACGCCAACAAACGAGCGAAACTCGTCAATTTACCCTCTTTGGTTCATCCGTTTCTGTTGGAGGAGGGGCAGGATGCTGTGGTGGAGCTGGTTGATAAGATCAAGAATTTCAGGCCTAAAGGGGTAATTATTAAGGGACAATAATTTAATAAAATTGAATTTTCGTATTAGGGACCGTGTAGGGACTGACTCATCCCTGAGTACGTAGGTGCGAACCGCGGTTGTGACTTGCACCGATGGATCAACATTTAACACTCGCACCTACAGTATTCGAAAACATTGTGAGGAAACCAGCTTTAGACCAAATTGTCAGGCACAAAAGACTGCTCATCTAGTCATTTTTTTTTTTTATATTATGAAATCACATATCAATGCAACAACAAAATAGGTTTAAAAATTACGTAAATTTTTTCGAAAGAGCTAATGAATTTCTAAAAATCACAAAAATGCACACAATAATAATATATTAAATGATAGTGTACATTAAAATACTGTTATTATTGTTGATTTTTAATTAATTATATAAAATGGGTTATATAAAATATGCCAACCCTTGTAAAATATAATACTAAATATTCGTGTGTCTGTGCGTACGTATGTGTTTATGTGTGTGTGATTATTTACTTAATAAATTATTTTGTATATTATTATTGTAGGAAGCCTTTGTTATATTAATAATGTCAAATTGAGAATACATATAATTTATATTTTATCTTTAACGTAAATATATCGCTATATATATGTTTCTCGCATTTGACTTATGTTACCGTTTCAGACAATTCTAGAGCTGACAGGCAGAAACGATTCTCCAATGTACCTCGCTATGAAAGCCAAGCGACGGGTGCACGGGAAGACTGTTCAAAAGACGAGAGAAAATAAGGACGGATTGGTAATTTACCAGTGTTTATTACATACCACGAACTTGGTTATTAACAAGGTCTGCCTGTTTGTCATATAAAAAAACTAGCGGACCCGACAGATGTTGTCCTGCATGATATTTCAAGCGATTAGGATATTAAACAAAGTATGAAAGTACCGACTGCAGCGTATCTGCCGAGCTAATTTGTGAATCTATATTCTAAACCATCCGGTGCTCCACCTAAACGCATACAAAAAATTTATTAAAATCGGTCCAGCCGTTTAAATGGAGTTCAGTGACATACACACGTACAGGAGAATTATATACAGTGTTACCTCTTTATAAGGAATTTCAAGGGACCGAGCATTTTTTTTCGTTATAGAGAGTTACGGACGGGAAAAAAATTTAACCAATTACAATAATTTCTAATTTTATTACTATCAATAGGTAAATTATTCTATACATATACAGGATGTCCCAGAAAGAAAGGATAATCTTTGAACCCCGCACAGGACAGCTCTCCAGCGCTCAGAAAAAAATATCTAAAAAAAATAATTTCTAGTGATACCCAAAATGTTTTTTTTTTAGAAAAACATAGGTTTTTTTTACTTTACTTCACATTCATGTGCACAACGGCCACAAAGTAATGAAATTTGTGGCGTTTTTGGTGTCTTCTTATTCCTGATAGACTATACTACTAGAAATACATTAAATATTTGTTTTAAACACAATAAATATGAAATTACAGGGTGACAATGTTCTTCAAGAAAACTCGCTGACAACTGTAAATAAACCGGAGATAGGAAAAGGCAAGAGGAAGAAAGAAGCTGTCCGAGATGAGAATTATATTCCACACTTTGCAAGCGATCAACACACTGAGACCGGGTAAGATTAGATTGGTTGTAGTTCTTTTTAACTTAAATTCTTTTAATTTTGTGTATTATATGTAATGTTAATTTTTATGTTTAAAAAGATTATCTTCATTCCTTTGCGCAGACTAAAGACAAAAAACTTAGACTTTTCTAGGTTAATACTGCTTAACCTTGTTAAAGTTAATTGTTAAAATCAAGCCATTTATTGGGCACAAACATTGGAGATTAATTAATTAAGTTTTTTTTGAAGTGAAAACTTCTTTAGCGGCGTTGTACACTTTTTTTGGGATGGGTAAAAAATGTTAAACTCGCGTCAGGACACGTGACCTCATCGATAATTCGTAAGACGGATGGCGAGTAGACAGCTGGCGCGGCGTATTTCATGTAATATAAATTGTCATGTTTGTGTACGTAGCATAGTAAAAATATATGTTGTATTCTACAACATAAATGATAGTACTTTTATACTGATAAATAAAGCAATTCGTGCAAAATTATTCCCTAACCATTACAAAATATCAAAAATGCACAACGTTAATATTCAAGTTTTCACTTCTGCCAGCATTCCGGGAGTGCAACCCGTCGTTTTTTTTTATTTCAGTCATAGGTTTCAGGCACAAAGTTGTCTCTTTATTTATTACAGTCTTCCATAGTTTTTTGCTGAGGACAAGAATGAATAAGCTCTGTTCTGCTTATTTGGATATAACATTTAGTTATGAACGGACAATTAGATAAAAATAATTAGTACCAAAATACCTATGTGTAGTACAAAATAGACAATTTAACGGTTGCATAATAGAAGTTACTTTCAATTATTATTTAAAAATTGCTTAAAACAGACTTTTTAGCCAACCGTTCTAAGATATATTTTTAAAATTTGATTTAAAATACTTCTCTTGGTGAGGCAAACAGATGAGTGAAACTTGCTTAAGGCGGTTGTATACGAAAATGTCCTATGCCCCACTACAATATTGGATTTCCATACCCTCAGGGCGTCTATTCTAGTAACCAATGAACCAATAAAACTCATGTTTAAATCTAGGAGGTGTATAGTATATGAAAAACCCTTGAAAATAATGTTATATGTATTTGATTTCAGTATGTCGGTGAACTTCTCTGCCGGAGCTTCTCAAGCCGAACTAGACATGGGTGTGGACTGTGGCGAGGGAGAAAGAGTGAGAAAATCTCAGATGCGTTGGGACAGAAAAAGAAAGAAGATGGTGCACGTTGATCCCGTACGTATACGTTTACTGAATACTTTTATGTTTTTATATGTTTACGTTTCTTAAAATGGTTTATGCTAAAATTTTCATTTTAGAATCAAATGTCTGGTCTATTCTGACAATTGCCAACCATATTGTAGATCAGCGAGAAATTAAATAAAGGGATTTTAGGACCAAAGTTTATCGATCGGCCATGTGTATACATGAAACAGATGCAGAAATCTGTTTGCTTCATACAATTTAAAAACTCGCTTATTTATTTATTTATTAAGCTTTATTTAATCCATACAACAATTGGTTAGTTTATATTCCTTAATATTAGTATTGGTTAAGTTAGTAAGTTTTAAACAAAATTTAAGTTAGATTTATTTTAAATTTTTTATGTCTAGTTTTTGTATGGCCCCTTTTAGGGTAAAAGCCTCCTCCATATTTTTCCATTTCTCTTTGTTTTGAGCAACATTCATCCAGTTTTCCCCCGCAAGTTCTACAATGTCATCTGTCCATCTTTTCCTTTGTCGTCCTATACATCTCTTTCCAGTAGGTCCAGTCCATTTCGTTATTTCTAGTGTCCATCTTTTATCCCGCGCTCTAGCAATATGACCTGCCCATTTCCATTTTAGCCTTAGAGCTTGTTCAAGTGCATCTGTAAGTTTGGTTTTTTTACGGATTTCAACATTTTTTATTTTGTTTATTCTCCTCAACTTTAGGATGCTTCTTTCCATTGCATGCTGGCAAGACAGGATTTTTCTAGTTGTTTTCTTGCTGAAAACCCACGTTTGACTTGCGTATGTAAGACAAGGTAAAATATTTGAATCCATCATTATCTTCTTGTGTTGTAGATCCTTTCAGAATTTCCTTGTGGGTCCAGTATTTCTTCCAAGTCACGTTTATTCTTCTATCTACTTCGTTTTCACTGCTGTTCTTATCGAAAGATACTTGTTTTCCTAAATATACATAGTTGTTAACATATTCTATAGGTTTACTGTCGACTCTGATTGGCTGGCACACACTGTTGCATAAGATTCTTGTTTTTGTGGTATTCATGTAAAGCCCGACTTTTTGACTTTCCCTGTCTAATGTTTGAAGCATTTTTTCTAATTTTGTAGCGGTGTCACTGAAGACGGCTATTTCGTCTGCGAATCTAAGGTGAGTAAGATGTTTGTTTCGTATCCAGAGGCCGTTATTCCATTCTATACCTTTGAATACATCTTCGAGGACTGCTATAAATAATTTTGGGGAAAGTGGGTCACCCTGTCTTACACCTCTTTCAATTCGAATGTCTCGGCCTTTGTTTTCTAGCTTTATTCTACCAACACTATTGCTGTATATGTTCTGTAATATATTTATATATTTTTCATTTACTTTATTATTTTTAAGCACTTTCCATATGGATGTATGCGTTATACTGTCGAACGCTTTCGAATAGTCTACAAATGCTATGTAGAGTGGTTTGTTAAATTCATTGTATTTTTCGATGATTTGTTCGATAGTGTGGATATGGTCGATAGTAGAATATCCTGGGCGGAAGCTTGCTTGCTCTACTGGTTGGTTATTGTAAATTTTTGTTGATATTCTGCTTAGTATTATTGATGAAAACAATTTATATATTTCGGATACCAAGCTGATTGGCCTGTAGTCGCAATGTCTAATGGGTTGCCTTTTTTGTACAGTAATACTATATTTGATTGGCGCCATTTTTTTGGAACTTCCCCTCGTTCTATTACCATGTTAAAAAGTATTGTCTGATATGTAACTAGGATAGGTGCTCCAAACTTCAGGGCCTCGTTGGTTATGTTATCTGGCCCCGGGCTTTTTCCTGACTTAAGGGTTTTTATGTGATGCAATATTTCGACTTTACTTATAGGCATGATCTTTGTATCCATACCTATATGCTCCTGATGAGTCGTTCTCAGATATACGTTGTCTTCTTCAATTTTTGTGATTTCTGGTTGTTTTTTATAAAGTTCTTGGTAAAAGTTAGTTGCAAGCTCTAGGATGTCTTCCCTATTTATTGCTTTCTTCTGACTGTTTCTTAGGCTCTGAATCCATTGTGTTTAAATTTTTATGCCCCCTTTGCCTTCTGATGTTGCTAGGTTTTCCTCGATTATTGTTTTTCTTTACGTGGCGTAGTCTTCTCTGATTGCTTTGTTTCCAGATGTTTTTTATTTGAGGTTTTGTAACTACAGTTTAATTTTTTATAGAAGTTAGTTCTAGGCGCTTTGAAATTAGTTCTAATGTTTCTTTTTTAAGTATTTTTTGTTGTTTGTTTTATTTTCTAATTTAAGACTTGTTGAAATTATTTCTTCTATGTTATCGTTAAGTTTTTGTATGTTTATTTTGTTCTCCAAACTATCATGTAATGCTTTCGAATTCTCCTCAAGGTTTCGGATATATTCTGTTATTTCTGCACTAGTCTTAAGTAAGCTTACTGTTTTTTGAAATGATCTTCGACTCATCTTTGGGGATGTTAGGGTCAGGCAACATCTCAGCATTCTGTGGTCTGATGGGAAGTTAACATTTCCTAATATTTCCATATTGGTTATAGATTTTGGATTATTGCTCAGTATGAAATCAATTTCGTTTTTTGTTCTTTGGTCAGGAGATATCCATGTCCATTTGCGTGATTGTTTTTTCTTGAAGAATGTGTTCATCACTGATAGCTTATACTCATTGGCATATTGTATAAGGCATTCACCCCTTAGATTTCTTGTACCATAACCATATTTGCCCATTATTTCTCTTTCGTAAGGACCCGGCATCCCTATTTTGGCATTAAAGTCTCCCATTACGACTACGTTTTTGTCAGCTGACTCATGAGCTCTCCTAAGATCCTCGTAAAACTTATGGATTTCTTCTTCGTTTTTCGAAGTTTTTAAATTTTAAAAACTCGCTTATATTGCTTGTGTAATAATCACTTGGACGTACATAATGTAATATAAATAAAAATTAATCGTAATAATATATATAATATGTCGCTAAGGTCACCAATTCGCGTATTTAAAAAAAAAAATTCTTTGAACTCTGATAAAGGTTTTTACGAAGAGAAAACTTGGAAAAGTTGCATGGAAACATCTAAAAACCGGTTTTATTTTTGTGTAATAGGTAGTATATGTAAGTCACGGAAAAGTTTAGGTTTCGGATTACGGTTGCCCGTGCAAAGTCGGGGCAGATCGCTTGTGTAATATAAAGTTGAATTTTTGTAAATTACTTATTTGTATTTAAGGACGGTGGTCGCAAAATGATTCGCACGGAGAGCGGCGGACGCGTGCCCGCGTCTTACCGAAGCGGGAGATACGACGAGTGGAAGAGACGGAACCACACCAGCGAACACGACGAGGATGATACGCGTGCTAAGAGCAAACAACGTGAGTTGACAAAATTGTTTTTGAATATTTTTTTTATTTTTGATTAAAGATAAAAAAGAAATGCGTGGCACTCGGGGACTGCCGCGACAAAGCGAATTTTTATGCAGAATTTTTTGTTCTTTGATATTAACTCAAGTTTTTTTTTTATATTAATTCAATCTACCACTCTACCAGACTCAGACTAACACTCCTATATAGTCCGTCTCACTAACTCGTACCGGCTGCACCGGCCGCGCTTACGCTACGTCACCGATCTCGTTAGAGAGATGTGAATACGCAGTATGCGTTCTGTCTCACTCTAAAGCACCTGCGCTACGTCACCGATCACGCCAGACCGATGTGAGACGCAGTATGCGTTCTGTCCCTCTCTAAAGCATATCGGCCGCACCTATATTACGTCATCGTGTGTTAGGTTTTTATTTTCGTTACGGAATTTCTTGATTCTGTCGCCGAGCTCAAAACCCGCGATCTATGCAATAGCTTAAAAATCCAGTGATCGAGTGTAAAATATCTAATTTTTGGTCCCTATGGCAATCGTACCATAAATGTTAGTAGAATTTTCTCGCTGTATTGCAATATTTATTGTTATATATTTCAGCATCTGAATTCCGTCCCCGCTGGGTGAAGCACAACGAGCGCATCGCCAAGAAGAAAGTTGACTCCTCGTCACGAGAGATGAGGGACAAACAGCAGATCGTTAAGGAACGTCTGCGAAGGGACAAGGTCAAGCAGAAGCTCAAGTTCAAATCGCGTGGCAAAAAGAAAAAGAAGTGATATTGAAATAAATATATAAATATTATATTTCTGTTTATTTGTCTTAGCTTAAAACATAGTTGTGATATTTTTGATATGATTTCAGTCTCTGACAGCCATAAGTTCTGTTAAAAATGAAAATGCATTTTTTTAATGAAGTTATGTAATATTATTTTTTAAAGTCTCAGCAAAAAATATAAAAAAAGATTCTATTCGAAATGGCCACCTTTAGCGTTTATACAGGCCAAACTAAATTCAGGAGGAATTATACAAGGACTTCTTTCATCTTAATAAGGAAGCCTGGATAAAAAGTAGACTAGCGTAGCTTTTTTATCCAATTATGCCATTAAACCCATTTTCATCGATACAAAACTAGACCAAGTAAAAATAAAAATTCCAATTGGATAATTGATGTTTTAATAAAGGCGAACAATAAAAGATCTCCAAATTCGTAGTATAATCATTATATTAAAAAAAAGATAAACATATTTAGTTATTTACCTACAATTATCTGTACACGGAGATAAATAACATGCAATAATCAAATTTCAGGAGAAACATTAAATTTGGACTGAATTTATTATTGAGAAAACCTATTTACAATTTTAAGACAAACATACAAGATTATATAATATAGGGTCGATTTTTCAATCATGCCAATATGAAATTTGTATAGAAGAAATTTTTAACCTACCCACATAATTCATCTACCCGCATAATTGGAAAATCGGCTTTTAAGATAAAATATCGAAGGTACATACTTAAGCTATCTACTCGTCAGTCGACACATACATAACGATACATTTCGAGCACGCACTAAAAAATTGTTCCAAAATTATTCTCATTTATAAGCGTACACTGACCACATTACAACAATTTCAAATTCTCTCAACAAGATTTCACCTAATCACTAGTCCAGTCGGTATGTTTAGCCGTCATTAACGAAAATATATACATTAAGAGATCGGGTCTTTCATACAGAACAGTAAAAGTAGAATCAATACAAATGATTAATTCTACTGACAGAAATGTTACTAGCCATTGTATTTCTGACCAAAGATTCTGTATGAATTTATCTAAAACCCGAACTAAAATCTCCACAGGAAATTTGTTAAAGCGGCTAACTATAACGCTCCTAAACCCTTATAATTACAGACCTCTGAACTCTCCTAAAAACTTAACATTAGAACCACGGCAACAGTAATTTTATTTCTAGCGGTTTCAAAAAAACTGAATAAATTCTAGCTAATATGGAATATTTAAGAAGTTTCCGTGGCATTAAGTTCCGAGGCCAAGTATGGGTGTAGTCAACCATTTCGTTTAAATGCTGAATATTAGAATAAACTATCCAAAATCAGCCGTGTCAATATAATAATGGAATGATTGTTTGAACTTACACATGTCGAAATAAATCTAAAATTGGAAATTCGGAAACTAGTAGATTTAAATAGCATTTTAAAGAATTAAAATCGAAAGGTTAATTGGTGTCTTGGACATATCCTATCTATATAAATATTTAAACTAATTCGCACATACAATTTACAATAAAAACTTAAAGGTACGATGAAACTAATCTAAACCATTCCATGCCTGAAACAATCAGTCTTCTCATTGCGAAATATATTTACACTAACATTTTCAGAGGACTTTGATACAGAAAAATGTTGGTTTTGTTCTAGATGAAGGGATTCTGACTTTAACAAAGAATTTAAATACTTTTATATGGAAAGTGTTTTACTATTAGCAATTAACATAAAATATTTTCGCAAACAATTTATCAAAGTATGAGAATTGACGAAAAATGTCTATAGGGAGCGTCTAAGTATTACGTAACGAATTTTGGGGGGGGGGTCTTTTTGTAAAACGTTACGATGCGGGGCGGGGAAAATTGAATTACGCGTTATTGTTAATATTATTTTGGGGCGATAATTTCCAAAATTGCGTGACGTAATACTTGAACGTCCCTAAAGAAGATTGCATGAAACGAATCGTGCTAACCTTCCGTACGTCAAAAACGATTTTGACAAACAGAAATCATATCGCGCTAATAATTCATATTTTTATTCACAATGACGTAAGCATTCCCAAATTTGTATGACTTTTGGGTACACCACGGAACTATTCCGTGATTTTTACCAATCATTCTGTCTTTATGATCAAACTGTCGACGCAATCTCTATCTCTTTTCCTCGTACATCGGTTGATAGAGATACAATTACGCTCATCTATCGGAACTACGACAATGGACGGGTCAAACGATTCAAAAAAACCAGGTCCCAAGATCCAAAACATATTACGCCACTAAAGCCTTTAAAACATCCGTTTTAATGTGATGACGTCATTCAAACACGTTCGAAACCAAAATGCCATTTATTTCTGACTTGTTTATGAAAACTTTAATGACGTCATTGTAATTGAAGAATTTAGGAATAAACGCCAATTTAAACGATATTGCAATAGGCCGATATTATGGCACAAAATTAATGCAATTATGAATCTACGATCATACGGTTAATTATTATGTGATTAAAAATTATTATAACTATTGGTATATAACTGGGTTAAAATAATTTGGTTAAATGTTTTTTTGCAAATTTTCTACTTTTTTAAAAAGATTATGGAATTCTATTGAATAACTATTGCTTTGAGTAGCATTTGCTTAATACGTTGTATAATATATAATATTAAATTTGATTTCTAAACAAATTATGACATCCAAACAATTTAAACATTCAAATTACCTATCATAATCGTTATCTGGAGAAAAATCATTAGCGTACGTCATTACGTACGCGCACACGACCGCGATTCAAAATTGCTATTCATACTAAATACGTACGTATACGTCAACATGACGCACTTGTACGTATTCTAGATATAACGTATACGTACACCACGATCGCTATTCATATCTACGAATCGTATTAAATATGTACGTATACGTGGACATAACGTACTCTTACGTATACGTGTATAAAACGTATACGCACGTACACAACGATCGCATGTTTATCGATACTAAAGTATCCCATTGGTGTAGTACTGGTAGTTGTCGTAAAGACGAGTCGACAGCGAGTTGAGTGCGTCACTCACGAGTCGATCGACGAGTTGTCGAAGTTGGGGCTCCGTTCGACCCACGTGGAAACGGGAACGGAAGTTCGACACGGAGCTGCTGCTGCGCAGGCAGGCTAACTGACCACCTGGAATGGACAGAAGCAATTGATATAGTGCTAAATTTAATTTTGATTTTGTTTTTTAAAAGATTCCTTGGTACAGATGCCGTTGCACCACAGAATAGAGATTTACAAACTATGACTTAGCACTAATTTGATTGTGATACACATGTGTGATGGTAATAAATAAATCAGTGGCGTTACAACCTTTTTAGGTCTTTTGAACCCTCCGATTTCTGTCACTGGTTGATCATCATTTTTAAATCCCCCAGCCCAGTAGGTGATCAGCCTTATGTGACGTCACACCGCTTCGAATTTTGTTGTCTTAAGACAATCGGGTTACAACACGATATTTTCCTTTCATTTCAGCAAATTTTAATGCGCACATTGATGAAAGAAAGTCCATTGTACACAGCCGGAAATCGAACCTAAAGTCCAACATTTCAGGTACAAACCCACTAAACCAACGACTAGTTGAAAACGATGGTAATTATATTAATTAAAGATACATATATTTAGGTTTTTTTTGTATATCAATTATATTATTTTGATCGAGTTTCTATAAATGTTTTCGTTATTACATCAAACTTTCTGTTTATGTTATTTCTATGAATACACTTTACCACATGTGATTTCCGTTCATTAACGTATTGAGCCTGTGTTATCAGCCCTTTGAACGACCAGGATGAGATTCACACTGTTGTGATAACTTAGCTACGCCATTACTGTAGAGCAGTGCTGTGTAAATACAGATAACAGATAAATGAATGTGGTATATTGGAATATGGTACATTACTAACATTTCGGGCATTACGGAAATACTCAATACATTAAGTTAAGTAATTGTGTTTGACTCAATACTATATTTTCGATTAGGGAGCGTTCGGATAGTATTACTTGACGCAGTTCTTCGAGATTAGCTCTGACCCCCTGTAACTTGCCGTAACGTTTTTCAGTACCCCATGTAAATTTACAGTACTCAAGTATAGTTAAAACGTTTACGTGACTACCTAGTGACAAGATACTATTAAGTTTGTGTTAGTAGACTTAAATACTATTCACAATAACGGGTAATTTCAACCGCATTCGTAACGTATTACAAAAGGACCTTCCCCCTCCCAAAATTCATTACGTAATACTTGAACGCTCCCTTATTTATAATAAATATTCTTTTTTAAAATTAATTTCTACAGGTTAAATTTAGATTTAAGTATAAACTCTAAGTCTTACTCATTCTCATGGTATCGACAAGATGCAATATCTGGTCGCAATGCTTCCTCGCCGCAATTAATCCACGTAGAATCAGAATCTTGAAATACGCGAACATATCTGAATTCTCGCCGTCCATTACTTCGACGAATTCTGGTGTCAGCTGAAAAAAAAATTGTATTTAGAATTAATAGGTGTAATCTGAATGCCCTTAGCGAGTATAAAAATAGAAAAAAGGTAATATATAATCGGCCAATCACAGCGTTCCTTTGAGTCGAGGTACGAAGCTCTGATTGGCTGATGATGACGGTCGATGTTATTAGGGTAATATTTTCTCTCCTAGTATTGTAGCAGATCTTATAAGTAATTTATTGTCTATTCTCGCAATGTATAACCTAATGTAATTTTACATACAATAGAAATAGAATAGAGAATAGAAGACTCCATGGGAATTACACTATGTTCAATTGTCTCTTATTACCCATTTAGCAGCTAAATCACATAATGTATTACTAGGTTAAAACATTTGACATAGACTAATTTTTAATTCCGTAGAATTCTGACATTTCATAAGTGTTCATTTCAAAAGTCCCCCACCTAAATAGGGACAAATTTGACTTATTAGAGGGCAATAACAAAATGCTACGTATTTTTTATGTTTTACCTACAAAAAGGTAAATCTAATTACCTTAAATGGCGAACTCTCGAATCCCAAATTTTTCGGTGAGATGGAGAATATAAAGCCAAAATCAATGTGGATTATGTGTCCAGCGCTGTCAAGTAAAATGTTGCCATTATGTCTGGAAAAAAAGGTATATAACATATAACTATTAAATTATATACATTTAGCAAGTAAATACGAACAACATTCGAATTGAAAAATAAAACGACTTTAGATTATCTGAATTTTATATGTATTTGTTACAGACTTAAAAATAATTCTCACTTTGATTGATTTTAGAGCACTTTTGTAAAACGTTACAAATTACGATGCGGGGCGGGGATTGAATTACGCGTTATTGTTAATATTATTTTCGACTTACACCGCATAATAGTAACTAAAGAGTCACTAGGTGGTCACGAAACGTTTTACTATACTTGAGTACAGTACTGTACTTGGGTACTGAAAAACGTTACGGCGAGTTCATGGGGCGGGGGGTCAATAATCTCCAAAAATTGCGTTACGTAATACTTGAAAGCTCCCTAAGGGTCAGACTGACGGTCCAAGTGCAACAAATTCGGTACAGTAATTTTGAGATATATATTCATTCAGTTTAGAGCAGTGTAGGTCGTAGGTTCGATCCCCGGCTGTGCACCACTGGACTTTCTATATGCGCATTTAACATTCGCTCGAACGGTGAAAAACATCGTGAGGAAACTGACATGTCTCAGATTCAAAGTCGAAGAGTTGAATAATCATGAAACAACTTCAAAAATCTGAGGCCCAAACCTAAAGAGGTTGTAGCGCCACCGATTTTTTTTATTCATTTTAGGACGAGAACAATAAAAGTATGTACATATATAAATTATGGTAAATCATTTATTTATTTACGTAGTTGGTCCCAAAGTTCTGTCACTAGCACATTATTTCTACATTTCGAGCAGGATTTTATAAAAAAATTATTGCATTCTATTTTGGAATGTTTGATTATTGTTTTAAAACAAAAAACAATAACTTTCCGTAATTTTTCACGATGGAGTGGACATTGAAAGTAACCCGAATAGTTGTTATTGCGTTGCACCGCTGTGGACACTCGCCGAGTACCATTTTCAAGTTGCTCAAAAATTTGAATATAACGCTTAGGTTTGTGTACGGTACTATTGATAGGTACCTTGAAGTCTCCAGTGTTGAGGACAAGAAAAGAACTGGCTGGCCACGCTCCGCAAGAACACCAGCAGTAATCAAAGCTATCAAGGCGCGGATAGTAAGAAATCCTGTCCGAAAACAGAAGTTGATGGATTTGCAGATGGGTGTCAGTAGGAAAACAGTAAAAAGGTTTTAAATGAAGATCTTGGTCTACGAGCATACAAAAAAAAGAGAGTGGGCACTTACTTAATGCTCGTCTAAAAGCAATAAGGCTTAAGAGATCGCGGGTGTTGTTTAAGCGGTACGCGAAAAACCGACACCGTGATATCCTCTTTACGGACGAAAAATTTTTCGATATTGAAGAGAAGTACAATAAACAGAATTATACAGTGTACGCTAAGAGTTCTGAAGAAGCTGAAAATAAAGTTCCAAGGGTGCAACATGGACATCATCCATCATCAGTAATGGTTTGGTTGGGAGTGTCCTATTATGGGCTAACTGAGGTTAATTTTTTCGAAAAGGGGGTCAAAACCAGTGCTACAGTGTACCAAGAGACGGTTTTGTATCGCCTTGTCAAAGACATGTCCAGCACCCTATTTGCGGGACATCACTTCGTGTTCCAGCAGGACTCTGCGTCTGCATACAAAGCCAAGACCACTAAAGCCTGGTTTGAGCGTCAAAACATCGTCTTAATTAGACATGAGGATTGGCCTTCCTCCAGTCCGGACCTTAATCCTTTGGACCAGAAATTATGACAGGGCTTAGAGAGGAAGGTCTGTGATAAACCTCATGAAAATTTGGAGAATCTGAAGTCATCTTTAAAAAAACCAGTGACTGAAATGGACACGAATATGGTGCGTGCTGCGATAGACGACTGGCCGCGACGCTTAAGTGCCTGTATTAAAAATGAGGGAGGTTATTTCGAATATTTTTATGCTTTTTTTATTCCTTAATTAATGTACTAAGAATTGATATATCACTCATTACAAACTGATCAGTACTTTTGTTTTTATCATTATTTCCATTTATGACAGAACTTTGGGACCGACTACGTATTTATTTATACTTTATTACCTTAATAAAAAACATACACATAACAAAAATAAAAGAAGCAGGTTACAAAAGTTATAAGGCAACGGGCGGCCTTATCGCTAACAAGCGATTTCTTCCAGGCAACCCTAATGTGAAACAATGAAAAAGAAACACCTACAGAGGGTAAAGAACAAGTAATGCAAAAATTATTAACAAAAAAAACTCAAAATAACACGTTACTATAACTAAAATAAAAAGTAAAATCTTAAGAATATTAATAATAAATGATATTGTTAATTTAAAAAAAGTTTGACACGTGTCGGGATGGAAATCTATACAGGCTATGTAAGTAGGGTTTAAAATAATATTTAATGTCTTCAAATTAGTGTTCAATGTTTACCTGTCCTTAAGCTGCAGAAGGTAGCTGGTGAGGGCGTAGGCAGCGGCCGAGTGCACGAAGTTCCTTTGCGCTCGGAGGAAACCTTCGCTGGTCCCTGGACCGTGCTCCAGCTCTAGCCAAGCCCGAAGCGTCTTCCCCGATTGCTTTTTTATCTGGTGTAGCGACACTGAGTTCAGTACCTGTGGAAAAATTTTGTGGTTTAATTCACCCTTCTAAGGTACATGACGGTATAATGATATAACTATATAGAATAGGAATTCATGTTAAAAGGTTGCCTGAAAGGGCTCGTAAAAGCGGTAAAGCCGCCCGTTGCTGCCCTTTTTATAATTTGTACCGATTTTTACAATTCAAATATAAAAAAAAGGTGTACAATTCATACGTGGTAGAAGTGAAACCTCGAAAAATTTTGATTTCAAGATAATGAGACGAATGTTATTTTAATTTTTAAGTTTAATAGCAATTATTAATTTTGTTAAAAAACAATAATATTAAAAAGTTTTATACTTAATAATGTATAAATTAGTAATTTTTTCACTATCTAAATGTAGTATTAGACTTTTATTTAAATTAATTTTGATAAAAACTAAAATAATTAAATTTTGAAAGTCGCTACAAAATTGAAAAATTGCATTTAATTTTATAATTGAATGAAATTAATTTATTATTTAATTTTTTTGCACATCTATGTTTATTTTTAATTTAGAGAATGATCAAACACACACTAATTTAAAGTTTATACAATGTATAATGTTGCCTATCTCATTTCCTCCCACGTTAAATCTTATACATTTATGTGTCTGTTTCTTTTTACTGTTGCTCTTTCGTTTCATCGACTTTCAAATCACAACGATGCTGAAGTTTTCACTTCATAAACGATCAAGAAACAAGAAGCTAGAACGCTGGGTTTCTTATAGTAACTCACCGGCTGTATGAGCCCAGACTCCTTATCGAGACAAATGATTTCGTAGGGCCGTAACGTCAGCGGGACTCGCTCGAGGTCCCACACGGCTTGAAGTCGGCGTAAGAGCTGCGCCGCCAACATCTCTTGACGCAAGTCGTCACCCACCTGGGATAATAGATTTTTATTAAACGTCGGAAAAAAAAATTGGTAAAATAATAATTATAAGTTTATAATAATACATAGCTTCAATCCGTTAAAAAAGTGTTTTCTTTAAATGATTTTTATTATTAAAGTATGCACTATGCAGAAAAAAAAATTGCGCAAAGTTTTTCAAAAAGTTATTAATTCTTCTCAATTCTATAGAGCTTAGTATTCTAGACATATTGAATAATGGCGTCTTTTGATGTGACATTTACGTACAAATAGTACGCGAACCATAAACAAGATTGCCTCTATTACTATTGTTCTCTATTGCATAATCAAATTCAAGATACCATAACTTTTTTAAACTATTTTCTTACTATTTACTCAAATTATTTTATGGTTTTCAAACCCGATACTTCTGTAGTAGAACATAACTAACCTCATCACCAATATCATAGCTGTAGAATGATGGCCACGTATGTCAAAAAACCATTCATTTTTTATTCTTTGATGTCATTTAACTAGTATAATCATGAAGTAGGGACTTATTTATGTTATTAATAAATAAGTCCTTTTTTACCATCCAACACTATGGACAAAAAAACATAATATTTTGACGAAATGAAACATTTTTTTCGTTTCCTGTAATGTTTGGGTTCTCTGGACATACGAGGCCATCATTCTACAGCGACGATATTGGTGATGAGGTTAGTTATGTTCTACTACAGAAGTATCGGGTTTGAAAACCATAAAATAATTTAAGAAAATAGTTTTAAAAAAAAATATGCTATCTTGAATTTTATTATGCAATAGAGAACAATATTAATAGAGGCAATCTTGTTTATGGTTCGCTTACTATTTGTACGTAAATGTCAAATCAAGAGACACCGTCATTCATACATTCGTTCGTCATGTCTAGAATGCTAAGCTCTATGGAATCGAGTACAGTTAATAATTTTTTTAAAGATTTGTGTAGTTTATAGGCCAATTTAAAACATTTGGTAAGACTAAATAGGATTTATGGGAAACGCTCACTAGATGGCGCTGAATACTAAATTAAAAAAAGTATTTGTAAGGATATGTTGTCTACATTCAGTATGAAATTATTCACCTTAACAATGCACCCAAGAAGTCTCCATCCAGCCAAGTAGCCGTATGGAGACGAAGATCGCATTCTAGCTAATTTGCTCTCCCAAGATTCCTGCAAATACAAACTAATTATTTAGACACGAATATGATATCTTTAAAATTTATCCAAAAATCAAATTAACAAAAGATTAAGATAATTACACTTCGAATAAAAAATAATAATAAATAACAAATAATTAAACTAAGTAGGTAACTTTAAACCTTTTAACTTTAAACGGTTAAATCTACTTAGTTTTTGAAGTCGGTAAAAAAACTAAGCCGTAAAGAGAAAGTTTTCCGTAAGGAAATAGGATAGGAGATATTTATTGTGTGTTAAAATTTCTCAATGTAGAAAGATAGAGACAGAAGTCTATTAGTAAAAAGGGAGGAGTTCTCCGTAAGGTATAGATTAATAGAACTTATCAACAGTAATTAATAAGTTCTATTAAGAATTACATGTAATTTATTTTACTAGTACAAAAAGGTGACGTGTCGCAAAGTTGTACTATGAGAGAGAGAGAGAGAGAGAGAGAGATGCTTTCTCTATGAGAAGAATGTTCACCAACCTTAAGGGCCACAGCTGACGGATCAGCAGGGTCATGTTTGAAGGTATTCGGCGGTGCAGCGGCAGTCGCGTCAGCCAAACGACGCCTCACCTCACCAGCACCCACGGCCATTGACTCACGGGATCCGCATGAGGAGGTGGACTGTATGGACGTCACTGATAACACTGACAGCTGGAACGAATTCAGGGCTTTAGAGTTAGGGAGCGTTCAAGTATTACGTAACGAATTTTGGAGTGTCTTCTCGTTAAACGTTACGATGCGGGGCGGGGATTGAATTACGCGTTATTGTTAATATTATTTTTGACTTTTTTCGTACTTTACACCACGAAACGTTTGACTATACTTGGGTACATAAAAACGTTACGGCGCGTTACATGGGGGGGAGGGGGGTTCAATAATCTCCAAAAATTGCGTGACGTAATACTTGAACGCTCCCTTAGCCTTTTGACCAGATAATTATAAATTATTTTATTCATTTCTTTTGTTTCTATAAATTTGATGATTTAATGTTTGGTACAAACTGCTAGGTTGACGTAAATTAATGGGTGTAATTTGACCGAGTCTTTGGGTCATATCCGGCTCGAAGGACCAAGTATGGTATTACTAAAATAATAAACATACTCTGGTCATTTGAATACTATTCCCTAATAGAGTTTAATTATTGTGATCAAATTAATCGGGATATTAATTATTATAACTTTTCTTATAATGTAATAACTCAGTGTATATAATAAGTTACTGTCATGATGGCGTTACAGTAAATCTTAATGTATTAGGTTTTTCATGAAATATGTTTTGTGCAACTTGTGTTGAGGCAAGTGTGGTCCAAGATTGTGATATTGTTTTTAAGTGTTGAAATAAACGTTATATACATAATTCAGTAATGTGAAAATTGAATTAATATTCTTGAAACTGCTTTTATACCTGGGAAACACAATCAGGCGCCGGTGCTCTCGTATGATACTGCGTGCTTAGTTCGTCATCATCATGGCTCCAGCAATCGCTATTATCGACGTCATCCATCGCCGAGTACATCGAAAGCGCTGGCCACTCTGGCACTAAGTTCTCTTCGCTTTTAGTGTGACGTATTGGTGGCGAGTGGGGTGCAGGTGGCGCGGGTGGTAAAAGGCGAGGGGGCAGTGGCTCGTGGCCCTCCGTCTCGAGGACTTCTACGTACATTATGTAGGGTGCCTGGAAAGTAAAGTGAACATACTTTATTAATTTACTGCGTCTATGATTAAACTAGTTTTGTCTAGAGAAGGGACAAGTTCCCATAACCGTCGAGGATGTATGGTGAATGTCATGAAAGTGGATGAAGCGAGAGAGGTATAGAGGTCAGGAGACATACCTCTCTCGCTTCATCCACTATCAAGTGGTCAATGCATACTCCTTTGGGAAAAATATTTATCATAATATCGAACGAAATGTAAGAGTTGATTGAAATTTGACCATAATTTTGATAGCTCTGTTAATATCACGAAAATTTCAAATATCTGAAAATATAAAAGTTGCAATTTTACCCAATACTACAAAACCTCTTGTAAATGTCCACACAAAAAACCAAACTTAAAAAATTTAGAACATTTTCATTTAACATTGTCTTTGCCAACCCCCAATTATCCAGTCACACAGTTTTAATTGATGTCTCTTAGTTCGTCCCTTGATAACTAAAACTATTATAATTATATATACAGAATAACAATGTAAATATCAGTACCTTGTCCTTGCTATTAAGCACTGCTGCAGCATGAGGCGGTATCCTAAGCACGCAGTGTGGCTTCTTATGCAGTGGCAGCCAAACCCGGGCCGGTAGGTTAAGATCGAGAGTGGCCAGTTCAGCGCGAAGTCGGCCATTCCTTCTCTCTTTGTCTGCTACGCTTGCGAGACGACGACCTATGTTTGTAAGGGCCGTCAGGAACTGAAAAATAAATTATAACTTATGTGAGAATAATTTTTAATATTTTTCAATACCACCAAATAAACCGTAAAAGAACTTGTACGAAATAAAACTACAATGTATGACATGTATGCCTTACTTAGGTGATGAGATCCTAGCACCGGTAGAAATAATACTATTATCAGTTGCGCTACAACCTCTTTAGGTCTGGGCCTCAGACTTCTGAATTTCTTGATCATTTTTAAATATAATAAGCAAGTAGGTGATCAGCCTTCTGTGCCTGACACACGCCGTCGACTTTTTGGGTCTAAGACGTGATGGTTTCCTCACGATGTTTTCCTTCACCTTTCGAACAAATGTTAAATGCGCCCATAGAAAGAAATTCCATTGGTGCACAGCCGGGGATCGAACCTACGACCTCTGGATGAGAGTCGCACGCTGAAGCCACTAGGCCAACACCTCTCCTGCGTAAATAATAACTTAGTGTTATAATTAAATTATTACATCACTTCCCCGTACAATATATTGTGTGCAATTTCAGCGTATTTGTTTGCCAAATATTTTGTCACATTAAAAAGAATTGACGCATGCGGAGAAGCGAAAACATATCAATTCTATATTCGAATTTGAATCATCAGAGAACGTTGAAAGATTACAAAAACCAAATCTATTTTGAATTAACCCCGAACATTAACTTAACGCGAATTCAGAGGAAATTAATGAGGCTTACAAATATTTCGTCACCTTTCACTTTACAGCTGCCATGGTTGGTGTTGGTTGAATAATATAATTATGTATTTAATACAGTTAACAGAATATCAAAACTAAGAGACTCAATACATGTACTATATTAGCAAGATCATTCATAAATACAAATAACATTCAATGAATATTCGCAGAGACTAAATCAAAGGTGACGCAATGTTTAAATTAGCTGACCTCAACAATCAACAACTGTTTCGTGGGAAAAGTGGAAAGCGTGGGTTTGCTACTGAGAACATCTTCAAATATATTTTATATAACTCATTTGTTTTTTTTAATTAAAACTAAATACTCCAAAAATTATATCACTTATATTCCGCTAGCACTTATTACTAGCCTCTAATTCTCTCGCGCAATTATTATTTATGTAGAATACATATAGCGCATTTATTATCTTTTTATATATAATTCTACTGCACGTGTGTGTCTCACTGAACTCCTTTTAAATGGCTGGACAGATTTAAATGAATTTTTTTTGTATGCGTTTGGGTGGCGCCCTGGGTGGTTATATTCACAAATCAGCCCGGCAGATGGCTCTGCAGTCGGTATCTAGGTAATTTATCAATACTGCAATTAGACAGCTGGTTTTTCAGGTACGTGTCTCGGATAGCTTAACTTTCATAATCGCTTGAAATATTTGCAGGACAACGTCTGTCGGGTCCGCTAGTGTATTTATAAAATGTAAAGTTAGTATCATTTCATATACATTTCTTTTTTGACGTTCATAAGTGTACATTGTGTTACCTATATGATTAAATGATTTTTTTTAATATTTCCCGGTGTATGTTTTTAGTTCTCATAAAGGTTAACGGTTGGTGGACTGAGTTTCCGCACTTGTCCTGGATAACTAAGCCAGCCTAGCTCCTTCCAGAAGCACAGAAGTCTCCTGGGCACTTCGCAGGCTTCACGTAGCGACCTCACTGCTCCGAGGATTTCTGTACAATTTGACTTCTCATAATTGTATAAAAATTAGTTATGCGGTTAAAGTTATTTTGTTATGCTTGTGTCTATGACAAAAATCCAATACATTTTTGACCTACCTACTGGAGTCAGACTTACAAGTTTCTGAATCTTACCGTTGAGGTTTAAAAGGTTTAAGGTTAACCACCTTAATTAATGTCACAACGATATTTTCAAGATTAAATAACTGTTCTTCCGCATCCGATTTCGATAATATATATGTATGTATATTTGTTTAAATTATTTAATGAACATAAATAATAAATGTTATCCGCTTATGTTCCTATGAAACTTTTACAATATCAAGATTAATAAATTTACGTAAATAGAAATGTTTAGCCTGAGATGAGTTATTATTTTACTAGCAGACCGGCCAAGCGTTGCTGTGGCTAAGGTTTTTGTTATATTACATAGTAGCAAACTATTCAAGGGAAACGGTAGGAGAACACCAGTCATGGGGACCACCATGCTTTTTTGGTGGTTATGCCATTAAATTGTAGCTTATGTGAAACGTTGGTACTTTCAACACAGCGCCATCTGTTAGAATTGTGACTATCAAATAATAAACAAATTTTGCAATAAAATAATATTGCTGATATAAATTGAGATGTAAGCTATCTTTTAAGTGGGATCAAACTAGGTACACACGGTGTGCAAATTTGATTGATATCGGTTCGGTAGTTTAGGAGTCCATAGCGGACAAACAACGTGACACGTAATTTATATATTAAGATGTACATACTAAATAAAGTAGATAATTTTAATAATTAATAATAATAATAAAAGCCCGTTTACTTTCCAATAATGACAAAAAAAATAATAATATACAGATTAGATTTTTTATACATTATTTTTATCTTGTTATCCTGTATACCTATATCCTAGCTACCTTCAGTATCGTCGATCGGAACTCCTTCATTGGTAAAGCTTTTACCAACTGACTCTATCTATGGCTTTCTTTCTCCATTCGCTTTCTACCGCTGGTCGCTTCGATTTTAATAACTATTATGTATTACAAAATCATAATTGAAGTGCTTTTAGTATACGTTATGTATTATTATTTTACACCCTGGCATCTTATCTAAGAGACGGGTATTGCGACTGCGGAAGAATTGCTGCATCTGGCACAAGAAAAGACACGCTTCACGAGGCTGATGTCCAACCTCCAGTAATGAAGAGGCACCCAAAGAGGATACTATAATTAGGGTTCTAAAATATCCGACACATACTACGAATCGTAATCGCATTTGAAATTATAAAAAATCTACAAATCGTTACAATTGTCATTGGTATAATAGCGCGCGGGCGTTAGTCGTGACATGCTTGATTAAAAGCTCAGTACATTTATAATTCTAAGGTTAAATCTTCATTGCTAAGTTGCATTATTTGATAACACCAAGGTGAGCATGGTAACAGACTAAATTAGTGATCTCATAGTGTGAGATTAACCGGAACAATCGTTTCGTAAAATTGTTTGGGCATTGTTTTACGCCTGCAATCTTTAAAATAATATAAGTAAGTTGATATAATCAATATAATACCAATAGTAGTCGGTCCCAAATTCTTATAAATGGAAATAATGATAAAAACAAAATACTGATCATTTGTAATGAGTGATATATCAATTTTAGTACATTAATTAAGGAATAAAAAAGCATAAAAATATTGAAATAACCTCCTCATTTTTAATAAGGCCCTTAATGCCAGTCTCTATCACACCACCATATTCTATTCATATGGTTTTTAAAATGATGTAGATTCTCCAAATTTTATGAGGTTTATCACAACCTTCCTCTCTAAGCCCTTCATAATTTCTGTCCAAAGATTAAGGTACTGGAGAAGGCAATCCTCATTCTAATTAAGAATTTTTACGCTATACCAGGCTTATGTTGTTTTAAACCAATTAAAAAATATTTAAATAGGTGTACATTTTGAAAGATAAAAACCTTACATTAAGTTTTACCCTTAAAAAAATTAACCTAGTTAGCCCTAATAGGACACTCCCAACCAAACCATTATATATATATATTACTTAATTTATTTTACTTCTTCAAACTCCTACTACACTTATAATTCTGTTTATTGTACTTTTTCAATATGAAAAAATTTTCTCCTAAAGAGGATATACGGTGTCGGTTTTCGCGTACGTTAAACAACACCCGCGATCTCTTAAGCCTTATTGTTTTAGACGAGATTAAGTAAGTGCCCACTCTTTTTGTAGTTAACCAAGATTTATTTAAAACTTTTTTACTGTTTTCCTACTGACACCCATCTGCAAATCCATCAACTTCTGTTTTGGACAGGATTTCTTACTATCCGCGCCTTGATAGCTTTGATTACTGCTGGTGTTTTGGATGGCAGCCAGTTCTTTCTTGTCCTCAACACTGGAGACTTCAAGGTACCTATCAATAGTACCGTACACAAACCTAAGCGTTATATTCAAATTTTTGAGCAACTTGAAAATGGTATGCGAGTGTCAAGGTGCAACGCAATAACAACTATTGGTTTATTTCAATGTCCACTCCATTGAAAAATTACGAAAGTTATTTTTTTTTTTAAAACAATAATAAACATTCAAAATAAATGAATAATTTTTTTATAAAATTTAAATTAAAATAATGTTAGTGGGAGATATTATACTCTTCCAGAAGCAGTACTATATGTGTTGGTCTATTGGTTTGAGCGTGCGACTCTCATCTCTGAGGTCGTAGGTTCCATCCCCGGCCGTACACCAATAGAGTTTATTTTATGCGCATTTAACATTCGCTCGAACGGTGAAGGAAAACATCTTGAGGAAACCGGCTTGCATTAGACCCAAAAAGTCGACGGCGTGTGTCAGGCACAGGAGGCTGATCACCTACTTGTTTATTAGAAATTATCATGAAACCGATACAGACATCTGAAGCCCAGACTTAAAAAAAGGACTCGCGCTAAATATGTTTTATTTACTATCCCAATTGCTTAAAACTGCGTGCTAAACGTGAAGGTTGTTAAATATTCTAGTTATCTACGATTCACTTTGATAACAGAACATTATTTTTAGAAGTTGAATTGCTAGATGTGCAATTATTATTATCAAAGTAATTAATAAACAATGTTTTCAAATGCCACAGCTTTTTTATTGTATTGACGTCAATAATAATCCATGGTTACAGTATTTCCTTATACAACACAACTAGAACAAGTGAATGATTTTAATTGATTTCTGTTCTAACTTCAATATTCTTTTCAGTTTTTTGTTGAATTTTTCGAGTTAACTCTGCATCTACTATATATTATTTCTCAGCACTGTTTATTTGATTTTACATACAGCTATTTTTGTACCCTTCATTGTAGGTACGAACAATTTAAATCGGTTCCGATAATTAAACACGTGTATAAAAAACAAAATTTACAATATCTTCAAAGTTTTTACCAAAACGTTTTCTCTAAAACCGTCTACCAGTAGTTCCACAACGAGTTTGAGTAAAACATCTATATAAAAAAGTGCATGCGTACAAAGTCCACATGTCAGAAGTGAAACTTCTTTTTAAGTCTTGTTCATATTTCTACAAATCTAAAACTTTAGATTTCCGAGACTTAGAGGGAGAGAAAAGGAAGATATGTAGGAATTTATGTCAATAAATTATCAATAGAGTCGAAAATGAATACAATTTATGACTTTACTTTTTTTTATTTATTTCTTCGATAATAAAAACACGTCGCATTTTAATTTACAATTCGTCATTTGAGATTTCAATAAATTATTTTGCATAAAATATAAAATTCTAATATTTCATAAATTCTCTTTAAGAAGTTTTAATTTTAAAAATATAATTTCTATAAGGTAACTCGCCCTTCTCACTCTCAATCGGTCTCTCCCTTTTCTTCGACAAAAACGCTGCACATCTTTGTGACGTTAATATTATTATGATTGCGTTTCATCCGTAAAAAAATTACCCTCATGCGTAGAAGTTTCACTTCAAAAATATTACAATAATTGTAGTATCCATATAAACAATACAAACGTTATCCCCCATACATATTTGAGTTATGCCAAGTGTCCTAATTAATACTATAAACGGTATGACGTATCATTTCAACGGAAGTGGATTAATAACAATGATGCTGTGTATGGATGCTGTGTAATGTGCTGTGATTAACACTCTGTATAATACTGGTATCATTTAAAGCGAGTCTGACAAATGCAGTATATAAGTATATCAATGATGAGTTAATATATTGTAAAAACGATTTTAAAAGTATGGAGTTTCTTGCCCATTCTTCTCCATATGAAAGTACCTCTTGGAAGGGGCAACTATTCATTTTTTTATTATTTTTAACTTGTCAAGTTGACTTTCAAAAGTGCCTAATTGAAATAAAGGATTTGACTTTGACTTTTATATGTCAAGTTTATATGATTTTACATCATGGACATAAATAAAAAACCTAGTAGCGGTACAACCGACAGATTTATTTATCAGCCTTCTGTACTTGATACCCTCGACTTTTAGGGTCTTAGGAATTCCTTACGATGTTTTCCTTCACCGTACGAGCGAGTAACTAATAATCCCGATATCGAGTTATATTTCGTAATTTTACACATATATGGTGTCAGCCTTTGAAATTAAAATTGTTTTTTTTTGTGTAATTTTTAACAGTGATAGGTATGATAGAGTAGCGAAATCTGTTTTTACATTTTCGGTAGCCCAGCTGGTGAATCCAACGTTGGAGCGCAACGAATTGTTAGCGAATATAATCTACATATTAAATTATAAATAATGTTGATATAAAAAGCAGTTAATCAAACACGGAAAACGCTTCATAAGCGAAGGTGTTAGCTCTTTATAATTTCACTTTATCCAAAATACTGTAAAATTTTAAAGTCTATGTTTAATTTCGTATTATATAAATGTATTACAATGACTATTATATGACTACATGACAATACATAAATGCATCTATTGATTTGCTCAGTAAGGGGAAAAGCCCGGGGAATCCCCACAAGCGAGGTTTAGTTATTGAACGATAGCCCTTACCACCTAAGCTTGAGTATATATAATCCAGAAAGTGCTAGTTCAGCGTTTAGTGGCGGTTTAATTAAAGAAATGGAAGGTGATTTCTAAAGGCACAATGGAGAGTTCTTAGGTTGTATATCATGTATGATTATCACCTTGAGAACTGGGGAATCGGGTTCGTTCCCGGTCAAAGCGCCAATTTTAATTTATGTAATCGTATAAAAACCGCCTTAGTGCATAAATATTTTTTACTAATACCAAGGAGGCTTTATTTAAACCAGCTACATATTGTGGTGTAGTATTTAAAGTTAGCAATTTCTTTCTAAAGTGAAAACATAATTTTGCAACAGATAAAGATTTCCGAGTAAAGCACGTCTTAGAATAAGAATTAGATAATGTATTACGTAAATGGTGTAGAACAATATGTTTCATGTAAAAAATTGTGCGTTATTTTATTTATCATATTGTTTTTATTGATGGTGATCAGCCTGTGTCTGACACGTCGCTGATTCTGACATGCTTTTCTTACTGTACGAGAATAACAGCGATCGTATCTGCTGTAATTCAAACGAGTAAACATTTTTTATTGAATTGTGTACTTCCATAAAAATTTCTACATTGATATATTTGATGCGATTTTAATACGTTTAAAAGTTAATTTGTATGGCATTACTCCACATTAATTTGCTATACAATACCATACATGAATTATTTTATTTCGTTTCGACTATATTCGCTATATAATGTTTTTTTAAAACGCTGGCATTTGCCACCATTTCGGCTTGCAGCATCTTTTGACATTCTACTTAGAAGCTCCAGCCGATACGATTAGGATTCTGTTTGCAAGAGTGAGCTGAGATCTCATTTATACTCTTGTCTAATTTCTGTTCCAGATCCTATCTACTGGTCCCTTATCTCGGACACTTAATTACCAAGTGGAGTGCAGATTCCGCCCATATCCATCGCACTCGCAATTTGCTTTGCTATTTAATATATGTTACTATTCAGAAAATCGGCCTCTAAATGACTTGTACTAATGCCAAATAATGTTAGAAAATGAACTTTTTTTTTACCAAAAACTTTTTAGAGTGTAGGCGATGGCCTCAGAGGTCAACAACTGTGACAACTATGTCTAGTGAAATAGAATGCCGCACCCAGTGTTGGTATGGGTTTATGACCTAATTATTGACAGAGTTTTATATTTCATAATTGGGTCATTTATTATTATAAACGCAAGCCTTCATTAGCTATAACATTTTTTTCATTGTCTTTATCACTCGTTTTAGGAAACTGCAAGTGACACATTGTTTCCGTTAACAATTAATTTTATTTTAATAAACTCGCTTTCTATTAAAATTACGATTGCTTTATCAATCAAATGATACCATTATCACTCACGTCTATTAAGGGATGTCATTGAGATAAGGATAATTACCTAATCTGTATGATATTTAAATGAATTTGTAAACAAATACTTGAAAACGGTTCTAAATTTAGGGAAGGAATGTTACAATGTAAATCTAAACAAATAGTTTACTCATTGGAACAGGGAAATAACATTTAATTATTCGTACAGAAGTAAATATATTGGCTGTTTTCATACATTATTTGTATCCTTTGTATTCAGGATTAAAATAATATTTTCAAAGAAAAAAGACAAATATTTTACGATAAGTTAGGGCATTCTAAAGTTTTCAAACTGTCTAGACTAAACGCTAACTCACCTGTGTCTGTGGCGCTAGTCGTGGCGCTCCACAGGAACATTGTTCCCCGCAAAGACATCCGTTATCGAACGCCCGGCCAGACGCCAAATCCCCTAAATGTCTCCCAGAAGGCGTTGCTAGTCTCAACGCTGAAGCATCCGATTGCGATCTATGGTGGCCTCTCCTCGCAGCCGGCCGTATCTCCTCAGCTAGTATCGAATCCCTTAGCTTCGTCGCTCTAGACCTCTTGACGTCACCTCCGAAAGCGGTCAACAGCCACGCAAGCCGAAGTGAAAAGTCAGCACTTTGTTTACACCGATGCACTAAATATGGCCGCAGTAGTTCAGCGACCTCCCCTAACTCTATGTACATTGTCGCTAGTTGCGGTAGATAGAAGTCGACGTCTTCGTGAGGGAAGGAAAACAGTTTGTTGGCTAGGTAGGTTTGCACACCCGGCTCTTTCGAGTTAAAGAGATATGATATCGCCATACTCATGTCGAAGAGTTTACTTTCGAATAGCCGCAGGAGAAAGTCTTTGTGGTTGGCCGTGTCGATTGCGGACACGGTTGCCGGAGCCTCGACGGCTGTATCAGGTGGATCGGGTGGTTTATCTGTGTCTTCTGGATTGCCGGAATCGAGGCTTTCTCGCGATCTGGCAGCAGCGGGGGTCGGTCTTTCTTCATCGTTGCCATCGGGGGGTGTGTGAATGCCTGAGTCATCGGATCCGGCGGGAATTTCAGGCGGGAGGGCGAGACGGGGTGCAATACGGCTCATGTCCCCCTGAAAGCGGGCGGGCCCCTCCGGCGACGTCGGTGTCATGTCCTCTGGTATCCGTTGTAGAACGGAATCCAGAGACCTGTTCCTCTGATGGCCGCATCCTGCCGGCGGCCCACTCGTGCCCGTCACATGCCTACGGACAAAATAAAATAATTTTAATCACATTATCACTAACACTTCACGCTTCGTTCACGTAACTCAATTAATACTGTGATATGTACCTATATTTACTATCAAGACTCTTATAGAAAGGGTCTTCATAATGACGTATACCGACAACTATAATCTTTTTCACCATTTGTGTTTTTAATTTTTATCACACGTCCGAAACAGTCACTAATTGTTGATTAATCATATTAATTCACGCCCATGATAACAGATGTTTGCGTACTCTAAGCACTTAGAACACGCGAAGTACGTAATCGAATAAATAAAAGCCGCAATCGCAAGAGAACGTCCGACTCGAACGCGAGCGTACAGTAAACTAATTTACGCAACAAAACAGGCACGCGGCGTCGCATACCAAAGAATAAGGATCACCTCGATTACAAACTGCAACTAAACAAAACCAAAGTACAAATAAACAAAACATTAAGGCATTATAAATTGTAGACCTTTGCACTTGCATAACCATAGACAATTTCCACAGTCCAAGAAAACATTCATTTAATGTAATGTATATTTGAGTAAATAGTACATAGCCTTGGACAGACTTGCTCAATTTGAACGAATGTTAATTTGTTAAGCATATCACGTAGCAATGAATTTTTTCTCAGCTGAGCAACGGCTATGCAGTCATGTATGGGCCTGGATTTCATACCACAAGATCGTATAAGGACTAATAAATTGACATTCATTGATTGAACTTGCAAATCGTTCTAAAACGGCTGCATAGTATTTATGTGATGAATATTAAAATATACAAAATATACTGTTAACTGAGTGTATCTAATCCCTCACGTACAGTCCAAATTAATATTAACGAGTAATATTAACGACAAAAAAAAATCCTACTTATGTACACGCGTTAGAAGTTAAACTTCTTTGGCGTAACAAGATAAAAAATTTATTCTACGTTTGTAGAAAAAATGACACTAACAAATAGAAAAATCAAAAATGTGGACTATAGCTAACTTCAGGGTGTCGGTTTTTTTTTGTGTGCGCGCGCATTGTAAAAATTTACTCTCATCATTTTTCCCTAACGCGCCAAACGAAGTAAAACTTCGAAAAGAATTTTCAATGGACACAATTCTCAAATCAAGGGCATAGAAGGGCCGAGAATGTCCGGCACTCTTCGCCATTCTTTTTATTGTATTATTTTGTTTAACAAGTATGCTCAACAATTACACCAATCTTCATATAAGAATAATATATAGTAATAGAACGGCAACGTTTTGATCTATTCTTAGCTTGTTTACGGCAGACATGACATAAGATTGAAGAAAGCACGGAGAAAGCGGCCTTCTTCAATCTTATTATTTCTTTCTATAACTTCAAATAACGACCTCAAAATAATTTCAACAAGTACACTATCAAAGTATGTTTCTTGACCCGACTGAACTTAACGACCTAGGGGAAGTATTTAGGATGAGTTAACCGTCTATGAAACGAAGTGCTGTTTATATTTAGAACTTTATCGAGCGGGCATATGTTCTTCCTATGCACAGATGTGCTGATGACGAACTAACGGCAATCATTTAAATAATACAAACTGGTTAGTCATCAATTAAACGTAAATAATTCGTCATCTTAAGATTTCAGAGGAAATACATTTTGAGCTCATGGCTTATTAAATATAATTAGTCGCCTAATTCGCCTAATAATCGGTTACCAATTAGGTCAGAAATACTTTTCTTCTGGATAAACCTCGACAAATCAGTTTGCACCGTTTCCATATACTGATAGAAATGAATTGCTTAAAATATTAAATTTATGAGAAAACGGAAATTTACACAAAAATACATAAACTTTTATATAATTTATATACCAGTGTTGAAACTAGAGTGAAGGGTACTATGAGTTGTGCAAGAAACGTCGGTTTTCATATCCTGTTAAATCAAATATTTGTCGTAAACGTAAGAAATGCACATACAACTTTCTAGAACATTCAAAGAACCTACTTTGCATTTATAATTTAGTTCCAATTGCGTTGAATTTTATTAATTATTAAAGATGTATTCCTCTACTCGGTATTCTGATAAAACGACACCACTTTAACTTTAAACTTATAAACATAATTTAACATCGTTATTTTATTTTTGAATAGCATCATCACATCAAATTCATAATAAATGTACTCAAATTCCACCTACATCAAAATTAACTGGATAACTTTTTGTAGGCTGTGTCATTGTGTGGTATTTACACCTACAAATGAGATCAGTAAATTAGTTTTTTCTCAAAGACTAAAACGATTAAAAGTACCATAAAACAAACTAAGCTACACAATGGCGTATCAAAAAAACCTAATAAGAAATCGTGACTCTAAGAAAAAGCGCTTCATTAGCGTTAATATAGTCATATGTAACCTTCACGTTGCGTGCCAAACAATAATATTCGCCAATTTCATATACATAATGCGAACGAAAATTATGACTATCCAATTAATATAAATAATTAAATTAGAATTCCAGACTATACAAAGGACAACGGCCCAGACAAAATCGTTATAGTAACAAATGTATGGAAATAATATTTTGACGACATATGTGATTATAAGTCGGAATAGCTGTCTAAATGTTAAATTAACAATATCGTAGAATTTTACCATGTTTTTACATTGAAAATATAACTGTTTGATGAAACTGAGAGCAATAGCAACTGCTAGTGAATTACGAACTAGGTACGATCTGATACATTTTATATCTTTAGGGATTTCCAACTATGAACTTATTACGGTTTTAAATTATTGAAGCAAACAGTTTCATCTTTTTCTTACAGTGCCATCTCCTTGCGAAGGTTGGCGATTATCATGGCTAGTAATGTTGAATGCCGCGCTTCCAAACAATGACTTGGTGCTTTGACCAAACCATTGTCTAATGTTTTTCAACCAAGAAATGCGTCTGTGGCTAGGTCTTCTATCTGCCACTTTACCTTGTATGATTAGTTGTTTTATACATATTAAATATACGAAACATCGCTTTCCTTATACACAAACAAAGCCTCAGTCCATACCCAATTTCCTATATAAAATAGAACATTATATAATATTCGATAAAGAGTAAATAAATAAGCGACTTTAATACTTTTAGGTGGACGCATTCGCGCGACGTAATCACAATCGTAAAAGTATCAATACTTTTTATTTTAAATATTGCCAAATATAAATTCGAAACAATAGTGTGCTATGAAAGATCAGACCCTTACAAATCATTGTTATGAACCTACATAAAAATGAATTGACTACAATGGATTACATTCAAAGAATTGGCTCAGTAAACGATAACAGATGGTATATTGATTTCAATTAGATTGTTTGCGCAGGGGCTACCAATGGGGGTTCTAAAGTTTTATAATAAATTAATTATAATTTATATTAAAACTAGCTGCTCCGAACTTCGTTTCTCTTTAATGTGATTTTACTTAGCCTACCATTTTAGTACATACACATTCGAAACATTTGGCTATGCTACCCCAGAGACTTCGGTTTTCTTGAATGAAAACTATTTAGGTCTGTGAATTTTTCTCTATATAAACCTCAGAGTTCAAGTCATAAGATTTTAATTACAAAATAAAAAATAGGGTTTGACCATAGAGAGGTGAAAATTAAAGGTCGTATGTATTTTTTATGCTGTATCATAAAAAAGATTAAAACAAAAGAATTTATTTAAAAAATAAAAATTTAGGGGTGGAGTAGCCTATTCTCAAACTTACTGAATATGCATAAAAAATTCATAAGAATCGGTCGAGGCGTTTCGGAGGAGTATGGGTAAATTGAGACGCGAGAAATTTATATATTAGACAAGTTAGTTTGTACACATACACCAAATCGTGCTGCAGTTATATGCATACATGTGTATATATATACATGTATGCAACAAACGTGGCTTGTAAACATGATTTTATCTGATCTAATCATATTGTTTACGAACGACAAATCGATTCTTTAAAACGTACATCATAGAGTACCGTTCAAAAAATGCATTACGACATCAATGTTTATAGAACAATGTTATTATATTATTCATTATGTAGATTTGCAGAAATATTTTAATATCGGTTAGTACAAACGATGCACTAATATACTAAATAAGCAACGACGACTGCATTTTATTATACTAAGGTACGAACACGGTGGAAGCGCGTGATCTTATGAAGGGACAAATCACCTTTAACGACAGACACCGTTTAATGAATTACTGCCGTCAGGTTTTCTAATTGAAAATTTAACGATTATATACAAACCGAAGTCAATTAATGTAAATGCTTATTAACTGAAATAATAGTGTGACAAACAAAAAAACAAATGAAGAAAGCTCTCAAAAATTTTAATATGTCTTTGATTTTACATAAATAATAAAATATATAAACACGAATTTATTACATTATTTTTATAATTGGATGTTTCATGTGTGAGGCATTGTGCTCAGCCTAGAGATATATCAAATTGAGAGATTCGATATTATTAAAAAAAAAATAAAAAAATCAGTGGCGCTACAACCTCTTTAGGTTTGGGCCTCAGATTTCTGAATCTATTTCAAAATCATTTTTAAATCTAATAGGTGATCAGCCTCCAGAGCCTGACACACGCCGTCGGCTTTTTGGGTCTAAGACATGTCGGTTGCCTCACGATGTTTTCCTTCGCCGTTCGAGCCAATGTTTAATGCGCACATAGAAATAAAGTCAATTGGTGCACCGCCGGGGATCGAACCTACGACGTCAGGGATGAGAGTCACACGCTGAAGCCACTAGGCTAACCACTGCTCTTTCCATCATTCGATATTATTGCCGTTGATAATATTGAAGTTGGATTTTGTATAATTTCGCTGTTATTCAGACATTTACTGTAACATATTTTTATTTCTTACAGTCGAGTGGTCAGCTAGAAACTGCGGGGGTCTTACGAAATTCTACCGAATCTTCTTATTGGTATTCAGGGTTTCGCAGTATGTCATTCAACGTAAGCTAAGGCCAGGACATTTAGAAAATTCTCTTTGAACAGAACAATTTCATTATTGCCAAGCAAAAGCGTAAGTCCTTAATAATTCGGTATTTGTATGTATTATATGTATTATTTCTTGTCTACGCGTGACGCTAAACTTAGATTTATTTAGGTGAATAGCCCTGCCAGTATTAGTT